AAAATAAAAAATAAAATAAAATAAAATAAAATAAAGAAAAAGAAAATAATAAAAACTGGAAAATTTCTTACCATCTGGGCACAACAGTAAAAATAGCTATCACCTACAGTTTAACCAACATATAAAAAACACTAGCCCGACTCTACAGTAAAGGCATCCCTCACTTTATGAATGGATTCGGTGACTGAAAAACTATATGTTAAGTGAATTTTTTTATGGCGAATAAAAGAACATATGGGAAAAATAAGGTTCGGTTCCCCAATAACAAGAAAACTCCAATATCATACCTCAAAAACATGAAATTGGTTCACGAACAACAACAACAAAGAAGAAAAAAATACCTACCTAAGGATAAATAGTGCACAAGTACTGTAATGTACTATCTAACACATTAAAAACATTAATAAAATACTATCTAGATAAAGATATGCAGCTAAAACCATTAAGGAAAAAAAAAATGAAAGTTTAACACACTGCCATTTGCATAGATGCTGGTTAAGTAGTGTCAAGCCTCACCATAGGAACTCAGCTCGGCTAGGGATGTTGCCTCTGTTTATTCCTTTTAAAATATTTACCGCATGATATTTATTTTTTTTACCTTTTTTGCACATTACTGTATGTATGTATGTAGGATTGGTTGCACATGGAACTGAGTATAACTAAAATGGAAGTTTATCTCCATGAAATTAGAACTGAAAAATAAGCAAACATAACTCCCTCCAACTCATCCTGCTAAGATTTGCTGGCATATAATTTCATTCCCTTTGTTTTTTACTTAATGATATACAGTACAGGCATCCCTGGATACAGAATTTCTGGTTGCGTAATTTCGCCCTAAAGGAAAAAACAAATTTAGACCTTAATCTCGAGTTCGGAAAAAAAATTCACCCTTATGAAAAGAGACCAGCAAGTGCTAGTGCTAGTAGTAGTGCAAAGAGAGCACAAAAAGGAATTACAGTATTACCCCGCTTAACGCGCTTTCACTTAACGCGTTTTCGCATATACGCGGTGCCTTGCCAAAGCTGAACTTTCACTTAACGCGGATTTTTCCACAGCAACGCGGTGAGTGTCCGGCTCGAGAGCTATTTTTAGATTCGCACCACCCCCCACCCACCACCCTGCCTGACTGCCTGTTTTAGCTCATAAAATTCATACAAATTACCCAGCCAGAATATAGTTTACATTGCTGGAATTCTTATAATTTGGTGATCATTTTGAATATAAACAACATATTTTTTGCATTAAACATACAATTTTTAGATAAAATGTTTAATCTGAGTAAGTATGTTATCTTTTGTCCAAAATATATGACATTTATATTCAAAATATTCCTGGTCTTACAAGGAATCCAGCAATGTCAATTATATTATCCTAACTTTAGTTTGAGGTATTATTTATTAAAATTTAGTGGTTATCCCACACATCTCCTTGGGACGGTTGGTGGGGGGTGGGGGGGAGGGAGGGACCAACCGACCGACCATCTGTTACCCGGTGAAGAATTATTTTTTTTTAACTGAAGATATTTGTTTTAGCTCATAAAATTCATACAAATTACCCGGTCAGAATATAATTTACATTGCTGGAATTCTTATAATTTGGTGATCATTTTGAATATAAACAACATATTTTTTGCATTAAACATACAATTTTTAGATAAAATGTTTAATCTGAGTAAGTATGTTATCTTTTGTCCAAAATATATGACATTTATATTCAAAATATTCCTGGTCTTACAAGGAATCCAGCAATGTCAATTATATTATCCTAACTTTAATCTGAGGTATTATTTAATACTAAATGTTAAAAACTCTTGAATGGAGGATTGGTGGGGGGTGGGGGGAGGGTTGGGACTGACCGCGCGGTTGGAAGAGGGGGGGAAGGCAAGGTGGGGTACTTTGATTGACAGATAGTGTTGAAGAATATATTTTTTTTTTTATTAACTGTAGATATTTGTTTTAGCTCATAAAATTCATACAAATTATCCGGCCAGAATATAATTTACATTGCTGGAATTCTTATAATTTGGTGATCATTTTGAATATAAACAACATATTTTTTGCATTAAACATACAATTTTTAGATAAAATGTTTAATCTGAGTAAGTATGTTATCTTTTGTCCAAAATATATGACATTTATATTCAAAATATTCCTGGTCTTACAAGGAATCCAGCAATGTCAATTATATTTTCCTAACTTTAGTTTGAGGTTATCCCACACATCTCCTTGGGACGGTTGGTGGGGGGTGGGGGGGGGAGGGAGGGACCGACCGACCATCTGTTAGCCGGCTGTGTAGTGTGAGAGGGGGAGGGAGTTGAGTCCATTATTTGAATGGACATTAACTTGGCGACTGTATTTCTCTATTTCTCTTAAGTATTAATTGTGTGCATGTACCATCATAAAATTAAGATGTTATTTTTACTACAACATAGTTATTTGTCGTCAAAAAGTGGAGTTTGGGGGTCGGGCTGGGTTCTATTGGAATTAATCCCATATGTTCTGTTATTCACTTAACGCGGTTTTCACTTAACGCGGGACCCTCTGGGTTCAATTGACCGCGTTAAGTGGGGTACCACTGTACTTTAGAGACAAAATCAGATGTGTTGTGGAGGTTTAACCAGAGGGAGAAACTAAGCTAGATTGCCAAAGCTTTGGGCCTTACTATCTCCACTATCGGTACAATCCGTGATAACAAAGAGAAAATTAGGGCTAATGCTCAGGTTGCTACTCCACTGTCAGCCCGTACTCATTATTTTCATCGAAGTGATGTAATGATAAAAATGGAACTTTACTTTGTGAGTGGACAGAGCACCAGACCAAGCAAAATGTGCCCATTAACACCATGTTGATTCAGGAAAAGGCAGGAAGAGAGTGCTAGCTCAGATGAAAAAGCCTTTAATGCCAGCAAAGGAAAGGATGGTTTGAATGTTTTAAAAAATGTTCAAACCTACACAACATCAAGATGTTAGGTGAAGCAGCCAATGCTGATACTGAGGATGCCAAAATGTATTTTGCTGAATGAAAAGCAATAATTGAGGCTGATGGGAACACACCATGGCAGGTGTATAATGTTGATGAAACAGGCCTCTTTTGGAAGTGTATGCCTACCAGAACCCTTTTTTTTCAACTGAGGAGAAAACTCCTGGGTTCAAGGTTTAGAAAAATCATCTGACTCTCCTGTTAGGGGGCAATGCAGCAGGAGATTTTAAGTTAAAGTCCATGCTTGTGTACCAATCAGAAAATCCCAGGGTTTTTAAGGGCTGCAACAAAACCAGGTTACCTGTACTATGGCACTCCAATAAAAATGCATGGATGACTGGCACCTTCTTCAAAGATTGCTTCACTAGCTGCTTCTGTCCTGCTGTAGAAATGTACAGTAACCAACAAAATATTTTCAACAAGATTCTGTTAATTCTAGATGATGCTCCCAGCCACCCTGTTAATATTAATGACCTTTCACCTAACATCTGGGTTGAATACCTGCCAAAGAACACAACTTCCTTGCTGCAGCCAATAGATCAAGGTGTGACGGCTAACTTTACGGCCTACTTTCTATGCAGGACAATTAGACAACTTACAGCAGCAATCGACAGTGAGGATCAGCCATCTGTAGGAGGTTTTGGGAAGAAATTTCACATAATGAATGCTGTAGAAAACATTGCTGAATCATGAGATGAGGTCAAATGCACAACAATGAGTGGTATGTGGAAGAACATCAGGCCAAAATATATCCACGATTTTCAAGGTTCAGACTTTAAATGAAGTGCAATGAAATTGTATCTGGTAAATGATGCAGGGTTCCAGGATGTAGACCAGGCTGGTATTGTAGAGCTGTTAGAGTCACACAGAGAGGATCTGTCAAATGAGGATTTAATGTCAATGGAAGAGGAGCGAGTTGCTACTGAGGAACAGTACACCTGTACAGAAGTTGCATCATCCCGTGAAATGTCAACAAAGGTTTTGTCCATAATGCTTAGTCAACTGCAGGATGTAATGCAAACTGCTGAGACACATGATCCAGACCTTGAATGCAGCCTCAAGTTTAAAAGAGAAATCGAGAATGTCATGAGGGGATACAAGCTGTACGCAGAGAAATTGCACCATCAACAAGTGACCACATTGGACGAATTCTTTGCCCCAAAACCTCAACCAGCAGCAAAACAAGATGATGATGATCCACAGGGAGAGGCAGGAGCCAGCAGTGACCCACCATCTCCCTCCCAGCAACTCCGATTGCACCACCTCACCACTCAGCCCTCAACATCATTTCTCATTAGTAAAAATCAAGTGTTTTATTAATTTATTATGTTACATCATGAATGACTCATTGTATGTGGTTAAAACTGTCTGATTTCATATGTGTTATGTTTATGGGCTTCAAAATTTTTCTGTAGGAATGAATCTTAACTTTTATAATGGAAGTCAACAGGAAAAATGGTTTCACACTATAGAAAATTTTCCAGAACTTAACCCTTCTGTAACCCAGGGGATGCCAGGGATGCCTTGATTTTTTCCATTCTGTATGTAGGATTGTGTGTACATTACATGTAACTGAATATTTTATTTTTCTGTTTATCTACCCAAAACTACGAGTTGAAAAATGACCATAACATTACTCACACCTTAGCTTGGTAGGGAGAGGGCTAAGGGGATGTGGTCGCCCCAGCCGACTACTAAGGGCGCACAATTTGAATATTTGCTGGGATCCAAATTCGTATAAGCGGGGAAAGTTTTCGTAACATGGAAAAGAGGTGGTAATTTAGGAAATTCATATAAGCGAAGTTTTGTATCTCTAACCTTCGTAGAGTAAGGGATACCTGTACTTGTATTTTTTTTTTAGCTTTCAAGCCTTATAAATACATTAGTATAATAAAAGGAGTGTCATTAACATCAGTGTTGTTGCCGACATGTGTACTGCATCTTCCTTTGCAACTTTCTAATCAAAAGAATGACATTACAAGTACAATACAAAACTATAGCTAACAGAAATACATAACTTACTTGCTGTGATCCAGCATCTCGTCTTGACAATGGAACTTCTATAGGCACAGGAACAAGTCCAGCCTGTAGACATGCATAAAAGGCGCACATGAAGGACACAGGATCATTATTAGGATAGACGAGGGCGACGCGGTCACCGGGCATAACTGTACCTTCCCCTCGGCCACCAAGACGGGTGAGGAGGTTGTATGCCATCTTCTGAGATCTACTCAATAGCTTTCCTGTAAAGAAATAAGCATAATTATCTTGATATACATGAAAAATATTTTGTCCAGCTTCCAACTGTTCCTATACAATATTTGTTAAAGTCTTAAGTACAGTACAGTACTGCAACAGCATTTAAAGTTATTTTCACTCGATTTTGATAACTAGCTTGGTAAATCGAGCATCATTGTTAAATTTCTGCTAAATCATATTGCCTTTAATTTTACTCGATTTAGTGAACTTAGCGTATGGGGTTTGTTTACATCCACTCAGTCTGTGTCCTGCCGCCACCAAGTGTGATGTTCACTGATACCTCTCAGCCCAGATCTCGGTCAACTACTGTGCTTAGACATCATGCTGAAAGTCTCTCAGAAGTCTCAGAAAGGAAGTGGTGTGGGGGAGCAAGTCAAAAGAGTGTGGCTATCAATTGGGAAAAAGGTTTGGAAATTATAGAAAAAATTAAACAAACACCAAACCCCCTAAGTTTAAGGTGAGCCTTGAATAATGTTTAGAATGTTTCTTGTACATATCATGTGTCTGAGGTGTCTCTGTAGGTGTGAGCATAATAACGAAATTCATCGTGATTTAGCGAACTAGTTCACAAAATTGAATGTAAAATGACGGAAAAATTCCTTCTGCTAAATCAAGAGTTCGTTATATCGGATTCCGTTAAATCGAGAGTATTCTGTATAAGAAATAAAAGTGTATTACAAAAAATTACTAAACAGCCTAGATATAACTGTAAATCTATACGAATAACTTGTTTATACAGTAAAACCTCATTAAGGCAGACCCTGCTAAGGCAGATATCGCTAAGCCAGACAAAATTATTTGCAAGAAAAAATAATAAAAAAAAAGGACAAAATTTGTCCTCAGATATCCCCTTCAGCCAAAATTTCAAGGAACCAAGATGTCAGTGCGCTGCACACAGGTGCCCAAGTTATTTTTTTTTTTTTATTATTTCATTCACTCTAGTAATGATACAATGTTTCTTATTATGTTACCATAGGTAAATGCATGGTTTATATAATTTGTTTATCACTGTGCCTATCAACACTTTCAAATTAGACTGCAAGATATGTATTTCTCCCATACATATTTTGATTGTACGACTGGCAATGGGAGCAAGTGAGTGGCCGATAGTTAGACCATCATCTGCAGTTGTAACTCTCCTCCCCCCTGCCATATTTCACAGTACAGTCAACCCTCACTTTACACGGTCCCACATTCAGCGTTTCCACGTTTACGCGTGCCCTGCCAGAGCCCAGGATACTCACATTCAAGTATAATTTTTTTATTTAGCTCATAAAATTCATACAAATTATCCGGCCAGAATATAATTTACATTGCTGGAATTCTTACAATTTGATGATCATTTTGAATATAAACATCATAGATTTTGCATTAGACATACAAATTTTAGATATAATGTTTACTCTTGAGTAAATATGTTATCTTTTGTGCAAAATATATGATATTTATATTCAAAATATTCCTGGTCTTACAAGGAATCCAGCAATGTCAATTATATTATCCTAACTTTAGTCTGATTTATTATATATTACTAAAAAGGTAAACAGTCTGGTATTCCCACACATTTATCTAGTAGGGACTGTTGGTGGGGGGGAGGGAGGGACCAGCGACCAGTGTGAAGAATATTTTTTTTTTTATTAACTGAAGATTTTTATTTTAGCTCATAAAATTCATACAAATTACCCGGCCAGAATATAATTTACATTGCTGGAATTCTTACAATTTGATGATCATTTTGAATATAAACATCATAGATTTTGCATTAGACATACAAATTTTAGATATAATGTTTACTCTTGAGTAAATATGTTATCTTTTGTGCAAAATATATGACATTCAAAATATTCCTGGTCTTACAAGGAATCCAGCATATTGTCAATGTATATTATCCTAACTTTAGTTTGAGGTATTATTTATTACTATACCTGGTTTTCCCCCCAAAATTTCTCAGAGGGAAGAGCCAGGGAGTGTAGTGTGAGAAGAGGGGGAGGGAGTCGAGTCCATTATTTGAATGGACATTAACTTGGCGACTGTTTTTCTCTATTTCTCTTAAGTATTAATTGTGTGCATGTACCATCATAAAATTAAGATGTTATTTTTACTAGAACATAGGTATTGTGTTGGAAAAAGTGGAGTTTGGGGGTCAGCTGGTCTCTATTTCATTTAATCCCATATGTTATGTTATTCACTTTCCGCGTTTCTCACTTTCCGCGGTACCCTGTGGGTTACATTAACCACGTAAAGTGAGGGTTGACTGTATTCACTGTTATTATTAATGTTTACTGATATAATAGTGCTTAACAGTAATTAATCATGGCATTGTAGCCAGTTTAGATTCGTCACTGTAACCACCAGGCTACTGGGCCAAGGTGTGAGGTGTTATGGTTGTTTTTCAACTAGTATTTTTGGGAAGATATACATAACTTTCTATGGTGAAACAAGGAGTGTATGCAAATGACGACTGTGTTAAACTTTCATTTGGCTTTTATTTACCGATTTGGCAATACAGGTGCTCCTCTACTTAAGAACGTTCAACTTACAAACTTTCAGAGATACAAACATCGTCACTGAAGGGGGTTACCTGCCAGAACAGGTGTTTAATGTGGATGAGACTGGATTATTTTGAAGAAAATTCCACAGAGAACAAACATTACCTAAGAGGAGAAGAGTGTGCCAGGCTTTAAGGCTGTATTAAAGGGTATAGCTGTACTAAATATCCATAATCTTTTCATTTTTTACAATACCTGGGGGTATGTTTGGTATCCACAAGAGTAAAGTTGGACTTACAAAGAAGCCTTAGGAAAGTAACTCGTTCGTAAGTAGAGGAGCACCTGTTCAGTATTTTTTGTTGTAACTTATTTATTGGTATTACAGTAATATCTCTGTTCGCCGGAATCCCCCAAACCTGGAACTCTACGAGAGATGGATTTGAAATTTTCTCGGAAAATCGTTCCCAAAGCCGGAATTTTCTGGAAAATCAAGGGTTTTGGAACGATTTTCCGAGAGGCACAGTTCCGGAAAATTCCAAGAAAACTTTTCCCATACCCGGAAATTTCTGGGGATGGTGGTTTTTTTACTGTAGTTAGTTTCAACGTGCAGTAGTCACCAATAATTCATGCTATATTAAATGTATCTGATTTGGAACCTTTGTTCTGTATCGTCTTTATGCTCTACTTTACGCCCCAGGGTTAACAATGACACCTGTTAGCTGTGCTCCAAATGCATATTATGATGTTTCCTCACACAACTTGCACAGTTTTCCTTACTTAATAATACAGTATTCTTTTTTAAGTCCCGACTCAAGATTCTGAAAGACTTAATATCTTTCAATAATACTATGGCCTACTATTTCCAAACATATTCACTTAACACACTTGTCAATCAGTAAACTATTTTCCATGAATTTGCTCATAACTAAGACACTGTAGATCTTGTAACAAACATCAGTCAGGGTGTTTGAAATGATGGTTCAACCTTAGTTGTGTTTGGCTAGGAGGTGCTTTGCAGTTTACTGTATCATCTGCATAGATAACATATTGAGCTCGGGAATTTTAGTGATATGAATCTCCCAGAACATTCATATCTTTCCTTTGGCTATATGAGGGATATTAAGCTTCAATCCAATGTTTTTTTACCAATAAATACTCAACAAACTTTTTGTGTGTTCATTACTAATAATAAAAAATAACATCTAATTACAGTAATTCCCTTTTATAATTAAAATACATACCAATACAGTATATCAATCTTACCGTATGTAAGTGACACAGACAGTTTGCCATTAGCATCAAGGATAGTTGCAACTGGCGCTTTATACCCTGAGGATGACCCATAGCGATAGACTGCATCTTCTACTGATCGTGGCAATCCAGCAGGGATCTAGAGAAATAACAAAATTAGTTACTCTTATATTAAAGACTATAATACATAATAATACTTAATATATACGGTTCATAAAACATAAAAATTATTTATATAGAACAATGAACTATACTTCTATTATAAGATATTAAACTTCTATAGTCTTTGAATATGACAATAGAAACATTATCTTCATCTAACTGATTCCCTAACAAAAACACTGTATGCCTTCTTCATAATTATGAAACTCTAGAACACCTCTGGTCACATGATAAGGTCAGATGTATTGCTTGGTTTGAAGAAAGGACTGGCTAACTTTCCAAATCCCTTAGATGATGCAGTAAAAAAATGGTAATCATTCTGTAAACATGAAGAATCTCTTTGGGAATTTTCATCCACTAAGTGCAATATTTTTTTTTTTAATTTACTAGTTATAACAATTATATTTGTATTAATTTTTTGTGATTTCAGAGTGTCTTAATATTTGTTACTTGCTTTCTTCATATGAGGCATTGCGCAGCAGAACTTAGTAAGCATCAAATATGAATACAGTTGTACCCCGCTTAACGCGGTTTCACTTAACGCAATTTCTCATATACGCGGTGCCTCGCCAGAACCGAACTTTCACTTAACGCGGTTCATCTACTCATACACACGGGAAGCGGCGCGGGCACGATGCGCACAAGGTCGCCCAGTCATCAAAACATTACCAAGTTCTTCACCCGCCACCCACCACAGCCGACCCAAGTCAGTGATAGCGATAATTATAGTGAGGATATGGACTTATATGGACTTTGAGGGGTTTGACAAAGAGGCCCTGCAAGCCTCTGTGGTGGATAGTGATACAATTGATACAAGTGATACAGGTGAGGGCCAATAATCTGCCCTCTGCCTCGGAACCAACCCCCCATCCCTGTGTGCCCAGCCATCTTTTCTACTAATGTAAGTGTTAAAAAACCTAATATTATTGATATTTCTCTTAATTATTAATTGTGTGTGCATACCATCATAAAGTTAAGATAATATTTTTACTACAGCATAGTTGTGTGTCGTCAAAAAGTGGAGTTTGGGGGTCGGGCCAGTCTCTATTGGAATTAAACCCATATGTTCTGTTGTTCACTTAATGAGGTTTTCACTTAACGCGGTACCCTGTGGGTTCAATTGACCGCATTAAGCGGGGTACAACTGTAGTGGAGAAACAAGCGGTCAGAGTTACACAATCTTATTTTTACCATAGCTCTTGAACTAAATATGTCGCCTAGATACAGTGTATTACATGACTTTACGTATTATGGAAGCAGTATGCAGTCATCCTCTTGATTGTGCTGGTTAATTGCCCCCCCCCAATGTTTTTTGTAACAATACTATACCCTTTCCCTGCTAAGCTGGCCTGTAAGCCACACCTCTGGTCTATAGCTACAAATAGCTGATTGGTTCCCCTGAGCGTCTTGCCTCCTCCCGGACTGCGCATGTATAAGCACGTATTTATATCAATCTTTTATGATAAAAGTTAAAAATTTTCTAACATCCTCTCAGAAGTGCTAATGCCTTGAAATCTTTTGCATTTTGACAGTTCAGATATTTAACATTATTTTAGATAATAACAGGTCTGCTTACCAATTGTGATAACATTTAGTTTGAACTTTATATGAACCAATCAGGTATTAGTATGGAAGAGGGGCATGGCTTAAGGGCCAGGTTAGAGTGGAAATACTAAAATACTGTAGATGATTATTGACAGTGATGAACATTATTATGTGAGGCATTTGTTACTGAAAGAAGATGGTTATTGCCTTCAGGAGCCATTGGGAAGAGTATGGCACAGTAACATTAACCGTGTTTTTCTCCATCAATTTTTTATAAGAATGCCTTAATATTAATAAACAAAATAAAGAATCTGAATGTGTCATTCAATATTAATAAAATTATTATTAATTTCCATTTTTTACGCTGAAGTCGTACAGTCTTCAGAGAGTGAGGCTGGAATCCAGGTAGTAACAGTGTGGAGATTTGACACAGCTATAAAGGCAAGATATAGCAGGTAGAATGAGGATGTGTTCCCAACTTTGCTGAAAGGAATGTGCTTGCCACGCTTGTCTGATATGGAGGTGCCTGTCTGCACTAGCTTCTATTGTACAGTTGCAACATGTTCCTGAGTTAAGCCATGCATCGCTATGAGACAGGCACCTTGATGGTCTTCTACTTCCTGATGACAGTGTAGTGCGAGGTGAATAACCAACGGCTGACATCAGAAGGTAGGCATTCTGCAGGCAGTCGTCCTCAAGAGTCCAGAATGTATTGAAAATGCTGGCAATGGCGTCACGAGTGAATTTTGTAAGGCAACCGTGCCTGTAAGACGGACCAACAAATCATGCAGCTTCCTTCTGGTCACTTCACACTTTCAAACCTCACAGTTGCAGGGCCTCTTCCATCCTCTGGCCCGCCCATGCTCTTCTACATCACCGTAGTCACTCAACGAACTCATGGCAATAATGTAAACACTCGTAGAAATGAATATTAATCCAGTTATGACGCGGAACGATGATGTGTATTAGAAATGGTGGTGTGAGTGATGGGTGAAGACGTGGGAAGGGAGGAGGAAAGGAATGTGGTGGGGTGAAAAGGAGGGAGGAGCACTGTGATTGGATCTGAAAGATGCGAGTAGCTCGAGAACTATTGGCTGGCTCAGTCCCGGTTGCTTAACAAGTCCTGCTGGGGAAGCATTGCGTTGGGATGGCTGAATGCCAAAATGCTAAAGTGACATGGTATAGATATACTGTTGGACTCTAACCCTTATTGGAAAATGCATTTCTTGTTTATATCCATATTGGGCCAGAAAGAGCACAGTCTGAGGAATATAATGGTGTAAAAATCACTGCCTCAGGCATGGTGGTACTTAACACGCTCTGCTGCACATTGTCTCGTATATTAGTTAGTGTTCACACAGTACACTCCAGCTCACATATTTTTATGAAATACTTTTATCAAGGGATCAATTTCATTACAGTACATTACATATTAATAATTATTGATACAGTACAGTATTGTATAACAATGACTGTAAACACCAGGACTTTTCCGTACTTCTACAAATACCAAATGTGAAAATACAAAATTGCAATGTCCATCCAAACCAAAATATAAAACGAAAATCGGGTGTCTACTTACCACAAGCTGTTCTCCCCGAGCTGGTGTCATAACCATGCCCTCTGGCTTGGGTGCATTAGGATCTTTTGGGTTGGCAGCAATTTCCAGGTCTTCTTCATCATCCAAATAAAATTCTGGTAATGGTCGTCTCTTTGGTCTCTTTAGTGTATTTAGGAGCTGCTGAATCTTGTTGGAAACTTTCCAGCGGCCAGTTCCGCGCCAATTTTCTGGAAAATGATATAGAGCGTCTCGCCATCCATCTGAGTCTGCCAGAGCAAAGATGGCAACAGACAGCCCAAAAGCAATGCAAGGGGTTAGTAAAAGAGAGCTAAACCAGGTCACCCTATTACTTGGAATGTGGGAAGGAATGAAAGCACTGGACATTATTTTCAATGCAATTTAAAGTAAAGATGTGAAACAAATCTTCCGCACAGCAGTTATGAAAATTCTATTCTAATGTTTATTGCATGTAAAAATACCTATATTATTGTACAACAGTTTAAAATCAACACCAAGAACCAAGAAAAGAGACTCTGAGATACTTTGTTAATGCCACGACAAAGTTGCAGAGAAGTTAGAGGAGTACAGAATTACTTAATATGAGAAACTATAACTACAGCAGCAAGCATGGGCGACGTTAATTACAGTGCAGTACCAGTAATCAAGCATAAAAATTAATTTATAAGATAGAAAGCCTTTAGTCAAATAAAAATATATACATGCTAATAGTCATGCAACATCTTATATGTACAGTCACTCCAAAAGGTATCTTTTCGATTATGTGAGACAATATGATACAACTGATGAAGGATTTTGACAACCCTGCCAAGACAACAGGAGCCACAGTGTTCATTTTGAAATTCATTGAACCCTTCCGTAAAGATACCTTTTGGAGTGACTGTACAAGAAATATGTACATTAATGTATAGCAATAGAAAGAGGTCATTTTCTTTTAGGAAATAATAAAATAGGAGGAGAGGTTTCTTACATCAACAAACTGAATTAAAGTACAGTATATTCATGTGCAGAAAAAAAAGATAGATTTTTTTTTCCTTTACAAACAGGCACATCTTTGTAGGTATATCTACACATCAACAAATACAGCAACCATTTTTTTGTGTGAGCTCACCAGCATCTGAAGAAGACTGTCTACCAGGAGGCGGCCCAGAGTAACGGGTGATGCGGTCATCACGTGGCGCCCGAATGTTGCCCCCACCAGTGTTGTTGGTCACATCGGGGGGCTGAGAAACTGAAATGTGGATAAGAGAAAGATGGTAAGGAGAATAAATATGATAGGAATGCTACAAATGGAAGTGAAAAGATGATGAAAACAAAAAGAAGACAGTAATGAACATACTGTACATTTGAAACAAGGAAGACAATAATTATATAAAAGAAGACTCATTTGATGAAAAGCATTAGGAAAGGGAAACAAAAGATGAATGTGAATGAAGTATACTAGATAAATAATGCCCATACAAAAAATCAACACATTTAGTGTTCAAAGTAGTTTGCAGCAGACAAATGGATAATTATTTGTGAAATCTGGATAAATTGGACCTTATGTAGCCCAACTGTCCCATTGGGGGAATAATAAGAAAAATCTGAAATACAGTAAAAGTCCAAAAATCCGGATGCCAGAAATGCGGACCACCCGAGAATCCGGACTTTTCGAAAACTCAATTTTTTTTTAATTTAGCTGGCTTCATAATAATAATAATAATAATTAACGGTTTATTGAAAAAATTCTGCAGCCCGAAGGCTGAAAATATACATTGGACATAAATGACTTATTACATACATTGGTGGTTTAACAAAAGCCTTCATTAGAGAAAGGTAAAGGAACATACAGTGAACATACAGATTAATGTAGGTGTTGAACAGCAAACTCATAGTGTAGTAACTCCCTCCCAGATGGTGTTAGGAGGAACTCACGTGGTGTAGTAGTTCCCTCAGATGGTGTTATGAGGGACCTGGCGTGGTGTAGTAATTCCCTCGCAGATGGTGTTATGAGGGGCCTCACGTGGTGTAGTAATCCCTCACAGATGGTGTTATGAGGGGCATCACGTGGTGTAGTAATTCCCTCACAGATGGTGTTATGAGGGACTTGACATGGTGTAGTAATTCCCTCACATATGGTGTTATGAGGGACATGTGGTGTAGTAATTCCCTCACAGATGGTGTTATATGAGTGAGGTTTGGTCTTAGGCCTTCCTATTGTAGACGGATTAACACATCGCTGGTTGCTGTTGGGTCTCACGGGCCGTTATCACTGGGTACCTGGGACCTCACTGTGTGAAGGTTAACTTGGGTACGACTGTTACTGTTGAGTTGTTCTCACTGACTTAAGCACTGTTCACCACTGTTCACCTCTGTTTAACACTGATTCCGTTCCTTTCCTAAATGAAATTGTAACTTCTGGCGAGAACTTGTTGATATTCCGGTGGGGAGGAGGGTTCAGGGGAGGGGGTTGGTATGGGCCAACTTAACAGTTGACCTGGCTGCTCCGAGAGGAGCGCCAGGTATGTCTTGACCCTTCGGTGTGTATGTGCGCATGAGTGAGCGCCACAGGTGCACAGTGACAACAAGCAACCACGCGGATGCCACTTTAAAACGAGCAATCAAACTGTGACAAAGTATGTAATTTTGAGTCCTACTCTTTCCATTTACAGAGTACAAGCCCATAATAATGGCTCCTAAAGTAGATAAACTTTGTTGTGTGAAGCGAAAAAAGAACACGTTGAAACTGAGTGACAAACTTGAAATAATTAAGAAACTAGAACGTGGTGTGAGCAATACTGTTCTAATGGAAACATATGGCATTGGAAAGTCTACAATTTATGATATAAAAAAGGCAAAGAATAAAATTCTAGAATTCACAGCTTTTTCTTTAAAACTGCTCGTTTTGATAAATGAAGCATGCTATATTTGCTAATGAATAAACTATCAAAATGTACCTGTTCATCTCTTCTTTATTCCTCCTTAAATTTGAATTTTAAAAGTACACTGTACTGCCTGAGAATCCGGAAAATCCGAAAATCCGGACCAACCCAATCCCCAAGCAGTCCAGATTTTTGGACTTCTACTGTACAGTACTACAGTACAGTACTGTATTCTTATTTATTGACAGAATTATTCTGATGTACTCAGTCAGTTCATACCAGTGCCACATAATCCATTCAGATACTACCAACAACAACAACTGGAAAATGCTATACAGTAATACAATAAGACCCCTCTAAGTCGCACTTCTGTAAGTTGGATACCCCCATAAGTTGAACGACCTCTGGTTTAAGGGGGTTGTGTGAGGCGGCTGTTGGGAGAGGAATTAGTTCCCGCATGTTTGTTGTTGTGATCACTGCTCCACCATGCACTTTTTTTTAGTGCATCCGTAGTATATTATTATGTCCTCTAAAGGAATTAAAGCAAAACAATACAACAGAGGATCACTGGGAGAAAAGAATGATACTTAGAACTCTACCAATTGAGGATATGAGACAGAATTGATGCTGAGGTCTCCATGAATGTTATTTGTGAAGAGTTTGGGCTGAAGCAGAGTACTGTACTTTTTATGACATAAGCTGGTTTTAAGTACATACTAGATATACAGTACAGTAATTGTAACTAGTATATATGAAGCGAAATTAATTATAAGCGTGAATAGAGTAAGTCCCCCGTTGAACGTTAATCCTTTGAACGAATTGCCAATATAACAAAAACAAGATTTTACGACCCATTTGCCGATTAACAAAAAGAATGTTCTATTATTATGAAACTTAAGTCACCCCCCACCAGCTCCATGATCACCATCGTTACCATCACTACCTCTATTATCATCACCTAAATCATAATTTCAGTGATGCAGAGACGGATATCCACTGCCTCCCACTCATTACCCACCTTCCTCCCTCCTTCCCACTCACTGCATCTCACCAACATGCTGCCTCTCTCATCATTCAACTTTGACTGTCATTCATGAGGGTACAATATTGTACAATACTGTACAGCTCCTCCCCGACTTACGACGGGGTTAGGGACCCAAATCCAGGTCGTAAGTCGAAATGGTCATAAGTCGAAACTGCTTAAAAAATTCATAGAAAATCTAAAATGGGTGTCTCTTTTTCTTCTCAGCACCACAAAACTCTCACTTTTAAGCTTGCCAGCCATTTTAAAGTGAATTACAAACGAAAATTTTCTCTATGTACTGACGTTGGGACTCGAAAATATGTAATTTGACAAAATTTTGGTACGACTGAGGCAGGTCGTAAGTGCGGGTGGTCGTAAGTCGAGTAGGTCGTAAGTCGGGGAGACGCTGTATATTGTTTATTTGTTATTCTCACTCCATAATTTAAAATTAATGTAACATAATGTAGAAGGAATACACTTTGTTTATTTGTAAGTACAATCAATTTTGTGGAAAGATATCAGCTGTTCAATAGTGTCTGGCAGTACTACAGCCAGTACAGCTCCTCCCCGATTTACAACCTGCAAACTAACCCTTTTCTAATCTCTGTCCATCTATTTGAGTCTATATACAATAATACTGACAAAATTACTACGTTTGTAACTCTCCTTTAAAATAACAACCGCTCACTCGAAAGTTACAATAATGTAAAAAAGATTTCCGACTTATGACGACCTGGTTCAGGTCATAATAAATGTAAAAGCCGAGAACTTCTAACAAACCGATTGATGCATCATCTACTCGTCACTTACACAATCTCCCCCTCCGCCACCACCAGTGCTGTACAATGTTTATTTGTTATTCATTAATTAGTAAGATATATTACTAGCACAGGAAAGCCTCCGATAATGATGGTTCTACTAACGACAATTCATATTTAAGACCCTGGTTAATTTAGGACCCAATTCAATTTACACCATATTGTCTTCGTATTTAAGACGAAAATAGACCAAAAAATAAAACTACTTTTTCATATAAATAATAACTAAATCTCGATATGCATTATTATAAAAAAAAAAAAAAAAAAAAAAAAGCCTCACTAGTCAGAAATCGAACCCTGGACCTCTACCTGTGAATGGAGGTCGCTACCACCATGCCACAGGGACAACAAAAGCAATCCTAGGCTTTGTGTTATTCCACAGAAAGCCTGTTGAACATGAATTTACTGTGAACAACAATGTCAGTGGTACTTGCTTAACAGATGATAAATTAAAGATAAAATAAACTTGAACTTGATCATTCAAAGTTTTTGGTTAAACTTTCTAACAAAGCTACAGTTACAGTAATCTAATTCTTCAACTCTCAATACACATATAACACAAATACACAACCAATGGTCATTTAATATAAATTACTAGAGCAGTACTGATATACAAAACCTGAGTAACTGTTCCCCAAATTACTCAGTTCCTCAAGTTCAACAAATGTATGTCTGCCTTGCTAGGAGTCCAGCCAATCCACTGAGACTGAGGCCAGTAGCAGTGAGACATGTTTTTGTAATTTTGTAATAAAATACAGTATTGATAATATTAACTTCTTTGTATCAATTATATTTTGTTTTACTTGTAAATAGGCAATTTTATTTTATTTTAGTATATGTTTATTTATTTTTTTTAAGTTGCGCTTGCGGTGAAACTTTTTGAAAATGGTTGCGGTTGTGGCGCAACTATTTCAGCAGAATTACGGTTGCGGTTGCGGCGCGTGCCCACCTTTAAAAACCTTTCACAGTAACTACCCATCTCCTTTGATATATTTATTAGTTTATTTTGTTAATAAATGTAAATAGTGTAATTTGATATTTACATAATCCTGCGATAACTTTACATCACTTGAGAGAAAATAATATCAAGTGACTTTAACACAGTGAACCTTTTTATTAATTATTTACCTATACTCATTAACAAAGTTGGTGAGTTAAGGGGTGGTGGTAGCAAAGCAACTACTGACTGATAATTAAGGGGATATAACCACCCGATTGGGTTTTTGTGAGATTAACTAAAAATAAAAAAGTAATAAAAACCCAACAAATAATGATAGGTATACAGTATTGAGTTCATAGAACCTTTTAAGGTAGGCACACTATATGAACAGAATATTGAAACAGAAAGTCAGCCCAATCAATAAGTGATCAAGTCCAATCAATAAGTGATCAAACCCAATCAATAAGTGATCAATCTGTATGTTTAAGAGGAAATACTCACATGAGGTAATATTGCGCATCAGATCTGTAACTTCTGTCATCTCTCGTCTTCTGCGTTCCTCTTCACCACCATTACTGAGGCTGTTGTTGATAAAATATTTGTTTATGCATCTGACATATTATGGGAGGACTAGCATAGTAGTCAGGTTAATAATAATAATAATAATAATAATAAAAATAATAATAATAATAATAATAACAATAATAATAATAATAATAATAATAATAATAATAATAATAATAATAATAATAATGATAATAATAATAAAACATTTTTCCAGGGATCTACATTATATCACAAACCAATAAATGAAACTGCATAAACTCAATTACAAAATGAAGCTGTATACAGTAAATATAAAATAATATAAATTTACTACGTCATAATAGTAATTATACTTTTTTAATAATTAAATAATACTCAATGAATCGTGGACAGAAAACAGATTGTGTACCTGTGTGGTGGTATGGGTGGTAAAGGCTGCTGCTGTTTGGGTGGGAGTGGGTGTGGTGGTGGTGTGTGATGACTACTACCAGAGCTGCTTGCTGGTGTTCCTCCCCCACTACCATGTGCAGGAACCTGTGGTGGAGGTAGCAGTAATGGGGTGCGAGTCACTTCTGGTGTACCCTGTGACCCACTGTGACCTCCACTACTGCCCAGACTACCCTCTGCTGTCACACTGTCTTCATCACTGTCTTCGGAGTCTGATGATAAAAACGCAGGAAAGATAAAATATCTATAATCCACTTTACAATATACACAGAATCCAAATTTATTCTGGAAAGCGAAGATACATTTTTAACATAATAGCATTTTGACAAGAGGTACTACAATTGACCTTTGAAGTGTTGTCACTGTTTTCAAGACTGAACAGATACTAATTCATTTAAACAGGGGTATCTAGCAACTTGACGTGAGCTGAACAACTAGCGAGCAAAGTTGCTGTTTTGTGGAATTTCGTTAGTGGGACATGGAAAACAAATACGCATTGGTCATGGATGTGGAAATGTTGGATGTCTTTCCAAGTCACTGTGGAATAATTTCCACACTTTTCAATGATTGCAATACGAGTATAGGAAATCTATTAAGAAAGTGTTTTTATGGAATTCCTTTATCATTTTTACCAAATATTTAATACTGGTTAACCAATTCTTTACTGCTGACCCCAGCAAGAGCTGTGACTGACCCCGAGATAATTTAAATATTTCGCACCAAGATAAAGGCTACCCGGCTGATGAGAGAGATTTAGAAATGTCACTTGATCAACTGAATGTTTTCAAGGCAATATATTTTATGAAAAAGACCAATTCTTCAGATTTTTCTGACAATGAAAAGTTAAAATTGCATTTTAAGTAAAGTATAAAATACTTTTGAGCATACAATTCAGGAATTAGTACAGTAAAATAAGCCACCCAAAAATCTAAAGGCATTACTAAAAAAACGTTTTTTACTCTAAAATGATTATTAATTGAAAAAACTCTCATAAAAGTTAGAAAGTAAGCTATGTTTTACTTACTTTCCTGTGTAATGAAATGGGAATCATTATAGTTATATATTTTATTCTTGGGTGCTAAATAATACAATACCTTCAGTGTATAAGTTACAATTAATTTTCTTATAAAAACTATAGGGAAAACATAACAAAAAACATATATTTAAACATAAGAGTTAGTTTAGCTAAAGCTCAAAATTTGGTTTTGTGAATAACCCCCGAGGCCTGTGTGGAAAATATTTGTTTACATAGTCAGTGGAGACATGGCATAAATGTGGAGAGTATGAACACAGCTCCTTCCTGACTTACGACGGGGTTAGGGACCCAAATCCAGGTCGTAAGTTGAAATGGTCGTAAGTCGAAAATGCTTAAATAATACATAGAAAATCTAAAATGCGTTTCTCTTTTTCCTCTCAGCACTACAAAACTCTCACTTTTAAGCTTGCCAGCCATTTTAAAGTGAATTGCAAAAGAAAATTTTCTCTGTGCACTGAAGTTGGGACTCAAAAATACGTAATTTGACAAAATTTTGGTACAACTGAGGCAGGTCGCAAGTGAGGGTGGTCGTAAGTCGAATAGGTTGTAAGTCGGGGAGGAGCTGTATACCTTTTCATTTTGATGTCCAAATATTCCTGAATATCCCTGAGCGATAACCTCGTATGTAATATATTATTTTGCTTAAAAATATAGTGCAGTATACAGTACAGGAGTAATAAAATTTTAACTACACTGCATGATTTGTTCTTACAATATTTGTATAAAAAAAAATGGTTTAGCACTTATTAATTAATTTATGTTAATATTTCAAAAACTTGTGAACCGCCTCGAAAAATTAAAATCAAATATAAGTAAGTCTGGTAGTTGCTAGATCCCACATTCTGATTAAAAGTTTCAGGAAATCATGACCCCATTCATTTGGGTGACTGTACATAATGAGGTGCAGTAGTCAAACATGACATTACCAGAATCTCTGTGATGTCTGTCTGGAGATCTTGCTGTCATAACTGAGGATCGTTTGGATGGTAGCGGGAGGTTCTTTGGGCGTGACTGGTACTGCGCCAGAGCCTCTTTGACTGCCTCCTGACGCACCTCTGTAAAACAATAACAAATGTGTTAGCTCAGGAATACTGTATTGTATTAGCTATACAGTATTTCACAAATTCTGGAGGAAAAACTCTAAATTTCTGATTTACTGTATTTATAATTCCTGATCATGTTCATACTGTATTTCATATTTTTCATATTTTCATAAATATTAACTCATGAATTATAGTCTTTTATAAGATAAAACAAATTACACTAAACAAACTCGTGTAATTTAATTTCAAGTAAATCTTGGAGTAAATACCTACTGTATACACAATACAGTACTGTACTGTACATATCTTTTAGTGTTTTAACTATCAATGACTATTAAACACACTACAGTACCATGCAATATAATGTACAGTACAATACTTCAAGTATAATTTTAACAACATATTGTACAACACACATAAAACGTTTAATAAATACTATATCTAATAACATGCAATTTCACATAGAAGTGGCCTGCAAACTTTCCATATTAAACTATAACAAAGCAATGATAATTTTTCCCTTGCCAGGTTGGATGGCCAGCAGCAGATTTTGTATTAGTTGTTCCTCTTATAACAATACATCTCATCAACCTTTATATACAGTACAATATACAGTACTTGTACTGTATTGTGATGCATGCAACTTTATATACACTGCACTACATCCATTCACATTCCATCAACAGCATATTCGAATCAATAATTGTACACACAACATACCTAATGCACAGACCAGAGTAGTACTGTATATTAATGTTTCACACATTAAAATATTCAACTCCCCTGTAATTAAGGATAAAAACTACAGCACCTCTGAATGTGAAAAATGACACTCACTTACCTGGTAAGGTGAAGCCTAGTTATGTGTGCTTAATTATCTTTCTTTGTTGCAGATCTGCATAACTAAATTTTCTGCTGAATAAAAGGATTATTCAGCAAAGCTATTGTTGTCAGAATGGACAAGTTTTTACACCCTGAATGGACAACTGGACATCACTCCTGCTCAGTGGAATCATTGGTTTCATACACTCAACAATTTCACTGAAGCTTTTACAGGGGTCCCCAGGTTACGAACAGGTTCCGTTCTTGAGGACGTTTATACGTCGAATTTGTACATAAGTCGGAACACATGCTATATGCACACAGTACTTACAAAACAATGTTATGAAATCCCACTATATCATAGCTTAAAGTCCTAATATAGATCTAAAATCACTTATTTTAAGACAAAAGAAGAAATAGAATGATAAAATACAGTAAATAAAAGTAAAATATAAGTCGTCAGGTAAATAAACTACTGTAAATTTCAAGTTTAACTCCATTCGTAATGGCAGGCGTTTGTAAGTCGGGGACCTCCTGTAGTCGAGAGGTTCCTGATAATTCAAAACACTTTTTTTTTACGGGAATAGCCCACCCGGGCACAGGTCATCGACCCACAACGGGGCCTAGGGGGCGAAAGAATAAGAATAAAATGAAATTAAATTAAAAATAAAAGAGAAAAAGACTATATTAACCTACACCACGAAGATGCTGGAGAACCAGCCTTTTGAAGTGGGAGAAATTATAAGAGTATGGAAACACAGAGGAAGGCAGAGCATTCCACAGTTTGGTTGAGTGAGGAAAGAAGGATGTAATGTAACGGGTTATTCTAGTGTGACTGACATCCACAGTGAAACGGTGGGCACCGCGGGCAAGACGTGTGTTACAAGCCCATGGCCTTGCCAGCAGTAAACAAGATGCCAAATCCACCGAACATTGCCCGTTAGAGTACCCGTAAAGGAGAGAGTGAAGCAACATCGCAGTGAAGAGAAGGGAAGAGAGATTATCAACTAAAGGATGAGAGTTAATTAGACGAAATGCCTTGATTCCACCCTATCTAATGTTGGACAGAAGAAGAGCCATCCCAGGTATGAGAGCAGTACTCCAAGTAAGGTCGAATGAATCCCTTATAAACTTGTAGCAATTGCTTTGAAGTGAAGTCACTATGGCATTTGCACAGCATTCCCAGCTTTTGGGAGGCAGCTTTAGCAATGTTTTGGAAGTGTGGCTTCCATAACATTTTAGAGGAAATGGTGAGACCTAGCATATCTATTTTAGAATCTGGCATATGCTCATATAAGTGACTACTATACATATAATGAGGTAATTGATACAAAACCCTAATTTGAACGCTATTATGTTAAGCCCACCAACAAGATTTTCACAGACATCAACTTGCCACTAGGAAACAGCATTCAAAGGAAACTATTGACCATTTCCTAAAATCCTTGCAACTCCTTTCTAAAGCCTATAGTTTTAAAGCTGTGTCTGCTGATACTTATAATCAAGAGGTAATTTTAGATGTGTTCATTTTTGGACTCAATTCACCAAACATCCATCAACGAATGTTTATAAAACGCTGACAGTAGAAGCAGTTCAACAGCTTAGATTTGACGCGACTTAACTCAGAGATGCACAACTCCCATGAACTGCTTCTCGGCTACTACTGTCTCCGCCCTCAGTGATGATTCCAGTTCGTCCTTCATGTCCAGACTTTAGAAATGCTAAGGCTTCTAGGTATGCCTGCTCATTTTGTAGTCAACCTTCCCCATCCCTGTTACGGTATGTCTGTCCCATAAGGAATTCTTTCTGCCATAAGTTTAGGAAGAAGGGACATTTAGCCAGTGTATGTAGGTCCAAGGATACTGGAAGACAAGAATCCAACTATGAAAGTTTCAAGTACAGTGGGGTATGCTATAACGAATCTAATTGGTTCTAAAACCTTGTTCGTTATAGCATTCGTTCGTTATAGGATTAATACGTTCCAGGCCCCCAAATATAACCACTTAACACTGAAAAATATAATATAAAATTGTAAAAATTGTAAAAAAGTGCATAAATATGCATCTAAACCCCTGAAATAAAGAACATCATTAATACTTGTAATAAAAAAAATAAATTAATAAAAAAAAAAAAAAATAAATAAAAAAAAATAAATAAATAAAAAAATAAATAAATATATAAATAATGTTCGTTGTAGGAGTTTCGTTCGTTATTGCATTCTCAATTTTATAGGTAAAACCGTTCGTTATAGGAATATTCGTAGTAGGATCCGTTCGTTATAGCATACCCCACTGTAAATGTTTGCAACTCCTTCTGGGTTAATTACATACCTGTCTTCCATGACTGTCACTTGTCAAGGAAAGTTTTGTTAACAATATAATTGTTCAAAAGCTTGATCTTGATGTATTTCTCTATAAAGAGACTACTGTATAATTAAGGCCGCATCTCCATTGGCTGCTGCGGTTTTTGGTTACGGTGATGTAAATTTGTTTTTTCTTGATAATTGTTACCAAAGGTTCAAACTCTCTGTACTTCCCAACTGCTGAACTATACTGATATTATTTTAGGCCAAGATTTTAAGGAATTTGATGAATCTGTATACAATATAATGTGATTTGTAGGGATGTCATTCTAAGCCGAGAGTGGGTGTGGTGTTGCTAATATGAATCCAAGTCCTCCCTCTCTGCTAACCTTTCTCCCGACTGTAAACCAAGCATCACCCCTACTCATCAGCACTCTCAAGTGGACTAAAATTTCATTAAGAATAAAATTCAGCATCTCTTGCAGGAAAGGTAACTGAGAAGTGTCAGTATCCCTGGAGAGCTCAAGTTCTAGTTACAGATGGCTGTTGTTTACTCTAGGACGGTAAATTGTTTTACGCTGTTGGATGCCTACCTTACGCCCTAGATCAGTAGTCTTGTTCATGACATAGCAAAGTACCATGTCTTCAGCAAATCGGATTAGAAAAGTACTTATAATCAATTTCGCTGCGTGAAGAAGAGAAGTATACACTGCCTTCGAAGCTGTTGGACAATTCTTACAGTTCACCCAAATTTCTTTTGGACTCATAAATGCTGTAGTGACATTCCAGTGAGCAATGAATGACATCCTATCCTATATTAATCTACATGTGATCTTATGTTTACATTGATATGATTGTGGCAAAAATATCGAGGAGCACAACTGCAGCTTAAAGCAATTTATGGAGGTTGCTTCTAAGTATAAACTCACCCTCAATGAGAAGTGTTTGTATCATTAAAATGAGATCAACTACCTGGGTTACACCATCTCCAATGGTAATCTCCAGCCTGATCCTAATCGACTCAAACCATTGAATGGATTCTTCTTCTTCTGCCCAACTGTTAGATTGGGTGGAATCAAAGGCATCTCCTCCTTTAGTAAATAATCTCTCTTCCCTTTCTCTTTGCCACAATGTTGCTTCACTCTCTCTTCTACAGGTAATTAAAATGGTAATTCGCATGGTGAGAAAAACTCAGAAAAACTAAAAATATTTAACTACACAGTCTACCAAAAAAAAGTCAAGACACACAACATGATGGAATTGCCATAGCCATCAAACGAAACATACAACACAAGATACACGACTCATTTCAAGAAAACTTTCTGGCATACGAAATTAACTGCCCAACAGGACCTATTATAATCGGCACCTGTTACCTCCCTCCGAGATCCGAGAAGACCCATATTCCCACTAGCAGACATGCTCAAACTGATGAGACGAAATATACCAGCATATTTTCTGGGTGACCTAAATGCATGACACCGCATCTTGGGGCACCAAGATAACAACGTCATAGGGCAGATTTTAAACACAATACACCTTGGCCAGGAATTCCCCACATACTGTACATCAGAGCAGGTCAAATCGGACATCCAGACATAGTACTGACAAACCAGCTTCACCATCTTAACCTGCAAATAGAACCCGGCCCAATAACCACCAGTGACCATCTCCCTATCGTAGCCACACTCTCCACGTTGCCAATACAGATCCCTGCCAGGATGAGATACAGCTACAGCCGGTCCAACTGGGAGGAATTCCAAAAGGAGTTAAACAATCACCAAATCACCCAACTAAACAACAAACACACTTCCCAAATAGACAACACACTGGAGACATGGTACGAAAACGTGAGCCAAGCATGGAACACCACATACCCAAGACCACT